AGGAACCCAAGTGCCCATCAATAGACTATGTGTCCTGGATAGCTCGGCCAGTGTGGCTCCAGGGGTTGAATGTCGATCCATGCTCCAAGAGGTGGCCGGGGCCCTGGCCAGTTTGGCTCAGCAGTTGGAGCGTCAACCTGTGGACCAGAGAGTCCTGGGTTTGGTTCCCGCTAGGGGCATGTACCAAAAAAAATAGAGTTAGCCAGTTCAATTACCGGTCAGAGCACATGCCCAGGTTGTGGGCCAAATCCCCAGTGCGGGGGATATAAGAGGCGGCGAATGGATGTTTTCACTCATCGATGTTTCTCTCTCTCTCTCTCCCCCTCTCCGTTTCTATCTCTCTCTCTCTCTCTCTCTCAAATCAATAAATCTTAACATTTGCAACACCATAGATGAAGCTAGAGGGTCTTATGCTAAGTAAAATAAGTCAAACAGAGAAATACAAATACCATATGATTTCACTTATATGTGAAACCTAAGGAGCAAAATAAATGAACAAACAAAAAAGAAACAGACTCACAGATATAGAGATGAGACTGATGATTGCCAGAGGTGAGGGGAATTGTGGGGGGGGAGGGGGTTGGTAGTCAAAAATAGTAAAGCACAGCCTAGGGAACATAGTCAATGATATTATAATAACTATGTGTGGTGCTAGGTGGGTACTTGAAACACTGGGGACACCACTTTGTAAAGTATATGATTGTCTAACCACTATACTGTACACCTAAAATGAATATAAAATAATATTGAATGTAAACTTATTGAAAAATAAAATTTTAAAAAAGAATGATTAGTATGAAATTTAAGCTTTAATAAAATCTTCATGAAAACACAGAAAGAAGCATGTTCATGTTATTTCATTTACATTCAGATCTGTTATGTTGACGGCAACACCTTGTAACAGGGTCTGAATTAGGTGTGTTCTATGTGAGAATTAAAATGACATGGTAGAAAGCGTACCTTTTAGGGTTACATTTTTTGTCTTATAAAAGTCACTGTCCTTAAACTATTTTATACAGTGAAAACATTAGTTCAGAGACCCTTGAAAAGACAAGATAGAACAGTATGAAATTTATGTACTGGAATATGATATAGTATTTATAAATTTAAACATTTTGTTGTTTTTTATCCTGAGAAAGTCTGAAACACAGGAAGAACAAGACTACTTTAATAACTTAATCCAATAAAAAATACCATAAGCTTATTATGTACCAAAAATTTCATTTATTTAATATTGTGATATGTCTATAACCTTTTAAAAAATATATGTTTTTATCGATTTTAGAGAGAGGAAGTGAGAGGGAGAGAGAGAAAAGCATGGATGAGAGAGAAACATCAGTTGGTGGCCTCCTGCATGCTCCCTGTTGGGGCTCAAGCTGCAATCTGAGCATGTGCCCTGACCTGGAAAAGAACTGGTGACCTTTTGGTGCATGGGACAATGCTCAACCAACTGAGCCACGCAGGCCAGGCTACAATCTCTTTTTTGCTTAAAGCTTTAAAATTGGGGTGAGTTCACTGAAAATTATATCAGAGAGTTTTGTCTGAAATATGCAAACCTCATCTAGATGTTTCACTAATACAGCAAGAACTACTCTAAATCTTTTAAAAAATAAATCTGAGTAGAAGTGATGGTGAAATTTCTCCATAAGCTCCTCTCTTTCTCAATAAACTACAATTCAGTTTGAGGACTTGAATCTTCAGTTACCCAGAACAAGATTGGGTAATAAATGTGGTAATCATAGAATAGACCATCATCAGCACTGTTCAAAAGAATATGCACCTCTTGAACAATTGAAGCGGAAACTAAGAAGCAAAAATGCAGGGTTTGTTTCCCTATAAGCAAGACACAAGAATGTCCATAACCATTACTGAGCATTAATCATATAAGAATCTCTTTCCCATTAATCTCAAGAGATTATCATGTCTCTTCCTACTGTCAGGAGACCTAGAATGGTCTTGGCTCTGTGCCTGCAGTCAAAACTTTAAAACCCTTGTCTTTATTTTGAAACCAGAATAACAGAGGGACACAGTGTGATCACTGCAAAAATCATAGAATCTGAGCTGAAAGAAACTTAAAGACTATCTTGTTATGTAGTTATTGTTTTTAGCAGAACTCTTTTATTCAAACAAAAATATAAAAAGTAAAATGGCCCTGGCCGGTTTGGCTCAGCGGTTGGAGCGTTGGCCTGCGGACCAGAGAGTCCCGAGTTCGGTTTCCGCTAGGGGCACGTACCAAAAAAAAAAAAATATATATATATATAAAGTAAAATGAAAGCTAGATATCTTTGCTTGAAGGAGGATGGGAGTTTGATGCCTGCCTATTGGTCTCCCATTTCCTCAGGGGAACCCTAGGGCTCCACAGGACAATTAAACCACTTAGTCCAACCTCATTTCATAGATGGATAAAACTGAGGAACTTTCTTAATTCTTTGCAAATTAATAGCAGATTCAGGACCCCTTGTTCATTGTTGCATCCATATTCATAACAATAAACATTTATTGAATGATATATTTGGGCTAAGCACTGCTCTAATTCTTCAACTGCACTATCTCATTTATTCCTTACAATAATCCTTTGAGGTTTAAGTACTGCTAAGATCAATTTAATAGATAAGAAAAGTAAGACAAAGAGAAAATAAGTAAATAGCCCAAAGTCACACAGTTATTATGCTATCTTTCTAAGTGCTTCATCTGTAAGGACCTAGATAAGATAATTTCTGAGTTACTCACTAGTGGGTGTTTCTAAAATCCTATAATCTTATGATTCCAAGATGTGAGAATGGTTCTTCCACCATAAATTGTTTCCTTTAGAATGAATTACATTCCTGAGACTTAACATGTGAGGCTCCCAGAAGGACCTTTTAAGATGCCATTGTTTCAATTCACCAATCAAGTGAGTCTGATAATCTTTCACCTGTGAGCAAGTACTGCCATTGACCCAGTGTTTGTTGATGCAATAAATGGTATTATAGTGGTACTTTGTTTTGGTCTTGGTCTTTGGGGTCAGACAATAATGAGGTGGTGGGAAGAGGTGAAACAAAAAGCTTCTTTGGAGATGATTATTTGGCAGTAGAGAGGCAAAAAAGATTCATATGGAGTGGATAAATAGGGAATTGTAAGAGAAGTTTAAAAACAGGTAAGTGGCAACAAGAGCAGGTAATGACCAAGTCAATGTGATAATGGTAAATCTGGGAGTGACTTTTATTATGTAAATAGATGTGAGTCCATTAACAATATGCAAAAAACTTTTTATGTTCAACTTGGCTAAAAACATAACTGCTAGCATGGGAAACAAAACTTACTACCTAAATAATTCTGGAACCGTTGTGATGACCTTGCAAAGATAACCAGTTCTTGAACTTTCACCAATGTATAATACAGAGATGATTTTATCTGACATCAAAGTAGCATGACTCATTAGTCTTCCTTATTTTATTTCAAGTAACATTTAAACTCAAGGATAGTTCACTGCTTCCCTTGGTTTGAGTTTCCTGCCAACAGGGTTAGATTTCTCATCTCTCTGTGTATATTTGCCAACCTAAAGAAGGTGTTTTTTTACTCAGAGTAAAATTATTGTGATTTTGTTATTGTTGTTGCTATTGTGAATCCTCACCCAAGGATATTTTTCTTTTTTCTTTTTTTTTTTTAATTGTTAACTTTATTTTATTTTTTGGTACATGCCCCTAGCGGGAACCGAACCCAGGACTCTCTGGTCCACAGGCCGACGCTCCAACAGCTGAGCCAAACCGGCCACGGCCCGAGGATATTTTTCCATTGATTTTTAGATAAGAGTGGAAGGGAGGGAGGGAGAGAGAGAGGCAGAGAAACACTGCTTGGCGAGACACATCAGTTGGTTGCCTCTAGCACACGCCCTGACCTGGGCTGGGATTGAACTCAGGCTGACATTCGAACCACGGAAAAAACCTGCCGGGGAAAATTACTGTGATTTTTAAAACAGGAATTAAATTTTGTTCTGCCTCCTTTCCAGTCATGCCCCCAACCCCAGCACCATTCACAATATATTCTTTGCTTTAGTTATTTCCAATTTCTCATAATTCCCTAATGCACCAGACTCTGTCACATCTCTGTACCTTGGTACGTGGTGTTCCCCAGAGCTGGGACACTTCTCCTCTTTCTATTCTCTGCCCAGTAAGCCTAGTTCATTTCTATTCACCTTCTAAGGTATCACTTTCCTCTTGCATTTTACTTTTACAAAACGGGAATATCCTTGCATATCTTTTTTTTTCTTGTATATGTCTTTACACACATTTGTGCCCTTAGTGGAAGTTATTAGACATGAAATTACTGTGACAGAGATTATTCACACATATTAGGATCTTAATACATACAAGAGCTTTTCCCTTAAATAGTCAGGAATGATACCGTGTTTATAAAGTCGATCAGTTCCTGACTTGCAGAGCTGGCCCTGAGGGCACCAACAAGTGGCTCCTTCAGCTTCACTCCTCTGGCCCTTGAGCTCCCTGGTGTGGATCCTGCTTCCTTTTCATAAAGGTCCCTGTTTCTATTTCTAGGGTAGTCTCTAATATCTGGCTCTCCTCCTCGTGTGCTAGAAACCTCTTCCTCTGCCCCTCTGTTGCTCGGGAGCTGTCCACCTGCCTTACCCAGCTCCGACCGCTCGTGCCAGAGGAAGGCTCCAGGCTGAAGAATAGCAGACTAAGAGGAGCCCACCGGTCAGATTTCAGGGACTTCAGGGGGCCCCGAGGCGATGGTTTAGTGCGTCAGTGGCTTCCAGGGTAATGCCCTAGGGTTCTCCAGAGATGCTTTGGGGGCCTCTAAAGGGAGAGAGGGAAGGGAAGAAACGGCCAAAGCTCCAGGTGCTGACTCCTGCCCAAGAACCAGGGGCCAGTTTGTATGTTTTATATGTGCTGTGCTCAAGTAAGGTTGTTGGTTTTGTTTGTTTGTGTTTTGTTTTTTTAAGCTTGAATGTAATATTTATTTGGTGAGTTTACATGTGCGGTCATTCACAGAAGTAAAGATACAGATGCAGCTTTCAGTGCAGGTTCAACTACTTTTCAGAACAGGCGACAGTCCACGAGGATTTGGTTGGGATGACAGTACTGAATGGCACATGCCTCCATTTCCTTTGTGAGCTTTTCTGCAAGGGCTAAAAAGGGAGAAGAGAAGATCAGTGTTAATAAATACAGCCAAGCAAATAAAAACATTTCTTTAAAGTCAGAGGTTATTGAGAACATTTCTGTATTAAGCAGTTATTGCAGGAGCATCATCTAAGAACTAAAATGCAGAGTTCTCATCTTCTCCATTACCCAAGTCATCTTAAATTATATTAACTGCCCCCACTCATTGGTTAGAGGCCTCTCAGTATTTCCCAGACTCTGACTTTGGAAGTCATTTCTCATAGTTTCTGAAATGATAGCATATTTAAACAAAATCTTTTTGGTTTCAATAGGATAAAGTACCCTTTAAAAGAAGGGTAAATCCTGGCCGGTTTTGCTCAGGGGTTAGAGCATCAGCCCGTGGACCAGAGAGTCCCAGGTTTGGTTCCTGTTATAAGGGCATGTACCTCAGTTGTAATTTGTCCCCAGCCCCAGTTGGGGCTGTGTGGGTGGCAACTAGTTGATGTGTTTCTCTCACATCGATGTTTCTCTCTCTTCCTCCCTCCCTCCCACTCTGTCTGAAGATAAATGCAAAAATGTCCTCATGTGAGGATAAAATAAATAAAATAAAAGAGGGGTAAAATGTTTTTTTTTACTCCCATCAATGTAAACTCTAATTAGATTTTATTTCCAGGAAAGTATAACTAAAGGTTTTGATACCATTTTAATTACCTAGTTATTTATAACAGGAAAGGAGCAAAGAGAAGGCCAGACATTATAGGCATGTTCCCTGCAAAACACTGGGTAAAGGGGACTGGACAAAGAGAAGATAGATGCATGCTCAGTAAAGTTGGGATGATATGGGAAAGTTACTTGCCTTTCAATCACACCTGGGGACAGCGGTGGTTAGCCAGAATGGGCGTGGCCACTGCAAGCCCCCTTAGTCTGGGATACTTAATTTCCTGAAGAAAAAAACTTGCTCTTTTGAAAATTTTTATTAAATGTCTTTATTGATTTTTTTAGTGAGAGGGAGAGAGAAACATCCATTGGCTGCCTCCTGCATGCCCCTTACTGGGGATCAAGACTGAAACCCAGGCATGTGCCCTGACCTGGAATCAAAATGGCAACCTCTAGGAGCATGGTTCAATGCACAATCAACTAAGCCACATTGGCCAGGCAAAACTTGCTCTCTTATGCTCTTGGTTCTTGGTACCCTTGGCTTATGCTTGGTTTCCTGGCATTTGCCCACATGGCCCATGGACTAATGGACTGCAGCTAGCCTGATGCTGTCCTGGCCCTGCTCCGACATGGAAAGGAAACTCTGGACACTGGCTCTGCTTCGAGCTCTACTGAACCCCAGCTTCACTTCTTCTATGACTGTACTAAGGGAAATGGGACTTTGGAAACACAGAGATTTAATTCCATTAAAATAAAAATCACTCATTTTCCCACTTGAATCTCAGAAAATTCTTTTTTGTGGAATATTGTAAAAAGTCTACCCCCAGCAGCACCCAGTGGGGATGGGGATCCCCCCACTACATTTGATAACAGCTTGATGTTTTATTATTCTTAGGCTTAAATAAACCTCTCCCACCCTGGCGAGTTTGGCTCAGCAGTTAGAGCGTCAGCCTGCAGACTGAAGGATCTTGGGTTCGATTCCGGCCAAGGGCATGACCTGGGTTGCAGGTTTGATCTCTGGCCCCAATCAGGGTCACTCGGGAGGCAACCAATTGATGTGTCTCTCTCACATCAATGTTTCTCTCTGTCTCCTTCCCTTCCTTCTACTGTCTATAAAAAAAAAAAAAAAAATCAATAGAAAAATATCCTCAGGTGAGGATTAACAACAAAATAAATAAATAAAAAAATATACCTCTCCCCACCCCGAATAGCTCAAAACAGAAAAATCCAGCATATAAGCAAAAAGATGGTTGATATAAGTGACAACTGAAAAAAATAAAAACATAGTCCAGCCAGTGTGGTTCAGTGGTTTGAGCACTGTCCCTTGGACTGGCAGATCCCAGTTCAGTCCCCAGTCAGGACACATGCCTGGGTTCAGGTTCGATCCCCAGTGGGAGGCATTCAGTAGGCAGCCGATCCATGTATCTCTCTCACATTGATGTTTCTGTCTCTCCCTTTCTCTCTCTCTAAAAATTTAATAAAAACATATTTAAAATAAGTAAATAAATAATAAAAACATAAATGGATTTATAAGTAAGAAGGTAAGGTAAAGAGATAAAATGAACAATACAAAACAAAAATCTGCTGTCAGTAACCTTAGTGAATACCAGGACAGGGGCAGTCAGTCAGCCTTACATACCAAGGTTAAGTCAAAACTAAAAAGCACTTCATGTTCTCAGCAAGTAAGGTTTTATTTAAAGAGAAAAGAAAGCCCAGCCAGTGTGGCTCAGTGGTTGAGCATTGACCTATGTACCAAGAGGTCGCCGGTTCTATTCCTGGTCAGGGCATATGCCCAGGTTGTGGGCCAAATCCCCAGTGGGGGCATGCAGGACATGGCCAATTGATGTTCTCTCTCATCAATGTTTCTATCTCTCTCTCCCTCTCCTTTCCTCTCTCTCTAAAACCAATAAAGAAAAAAAATTAAAGAGAAAAGAAAAACAAAAAACAACAAACAAGGAAACAAACAACTCCAAGGTATAATAAAGTTTTAACAAGAGTTATAAAGTTTGCCAAGCTTTGGTGGGCTGGCCTAGGAACATCATCTCATCATTATGTCTCAACTTTGGTCTCTTTTGGAAAATGCATTCATTCATTTATTCCTAAAGTGACCAATTCATCCTGGTTTGCTGAGAACTTCTTGGTTTAGCACAGGAAGTTTTGTGTCCTGGGAATCCGGTTGGTCCTAGGCAATGTCATCCCATTCCATTCATTCTTTCCACCCATTTATTTAAAAAAAAAAAAAAAATCACTGAGCAGTTACCATGTGCCAGGCACTGTACAAGGCACTGGACTCTAAAGAAAAACTTTGACAAAGGACTTGACCTTGAGGAATACACAAAGTAGTAGGTTCAGAAGGACACTAACACTGAACAAAAAAACTTGGTAAATAACACTACAGAGCAGTCTTCAAGTGTTGTGTTCTCCACCATAAAGAAAAATGAAGTATACACCCAAATATATTCTATCCATAAAGTGCATTCCCATTCATAATAATAAGAGCTAAAACTATACAGCACAACTAAGTGCCAAGCATTGTTGTAAGCGCTTTACAAACATTAAAACAATTAATCCTCACAACAACTCCCAGGTAGGTAGTATATTATACCCAAGGTGGATTAAAAAATGGCTGCAAATTCTTTGATATGCCTCCTTTCAAGAGGTCTAACTCCTCATCCCTTGAAGCTGATCTGGCCTTAGTGACTTGCTTGGTTAACAGAATGCTGTAGGAGTGACATTCTGGGACTTCTGAGGTTACAGTATTATTTTTTCCCCTTTATTGATTTTACAGAGAGAGGAAGTAAGAGGGAGAGAGACAAAAACAACAATGAGCGAGAACATCGATTGGTTGCCTCCTGCATGCCCCCCACTGGGGATCAGGCCCACAACCTGGGCATGTATCCTGACTGGGAATTAAACCGGAGACCTCTTGGTACATGAGTCGATGCTCAACCACTGAGCCACACCCACTGGACTGAGATTATATTATTAACTGCCTTGCTCTGGTGTAAGCCAGATGCCAAGTGAAGAAGCCTAAGTTAAACACATGGAGAGAGAAATACCTGAGCAGCCCCCTCTGTTACAGACATCCTAGCCCAGGTGAGAGATACTTGAGTGAAGAAGCCTACAGGTAAGTCCAGCCCCAGTTTCCAGACCTTGGCTGAGTTCAGTTATCCCCCAAAACTTTGGAAGAAAATAATAAGGTGTTGTTTTAAGTCATCAAGTTTTAGAGTGGTTTGTAATGCAGCAATGAGTAATTAGAATAATATCCACCATACAGATGAGAAAACTGAGACACACAATAGTCAAGTAATTTGTCCAAAATAAGTGGTTAAGTAACTTGTCCAAATCAAAAACAGCTAGCAGGGGGCAGAGTCAGGATTTAAGCCCAAACAGTTTAGCTCTTTTAGCTGTGTTAGTAACCAGTGCACTTTTCTACCTTTGCACAAAAAAAGTTACACACACACACACACACACACACACACACACACATAAGTTTAAAAGGACAAGAAGAAAAACATAAATTTCTAATTTTTTCTCTCTATATCTATCAGAGACCACATTGGACATTCCCAGGCACTGCTGTAATTACAAGTTGTTAAGTCTGTGTGAGATCATCAAGGGCAACATCACAGGGGAGGACACCTAAGCTGGATCTTGAAGGATGTCAGAGGTTATTATGCAAGAAAGGGGAAGAAGGCAGTGCAAGTGCAATGCATTTAGACTGTGGGGTACAAGGAGAAAGGAGCTGATGCTGGGAAGGTGTGCTAGAGTAAGGTAGTGAAGGGCTTTTACAAGGAACAAAGGAGTCTGGATTTCACCCTATAACCACTGGGAGCAATGAAAGGTTTTTTCAACAAAGACATAATGTAATAGATAAAATATAATATAGGAGATAGCTGCAGAGGAAAGATAGAAACCAAATAAGCAAATGCTATAGAGCAGTTGCAAAAGGATGAATACCTAAGGAAGTAGGAGAAAGAGGGGTGATATTCCTGAAGTATGACTGACAAGCCAGGGCAACCAATTAGATAACAGTGATTTGAGAGAAGCCATCTTCCATGATGACTTCAATGTTTCTAGTTTGGGTGACTGGTTGAAGCTTTACCTATAGCTAAGTAATGCTTCAAGAGTCAGTGTGTCACCTCCTTTCTGAAAACAAATAGGTGTTCAAAGCAAAATGGGTATTGAGAACAGAGGTGTAGCTCAAAAGGGTCAGTGAACAAAACTATTTATGGAAAGACATCCCATGTTTATGGATTGGAAGACTTAATAGTGTTAAGATAGCAGTATTCCCCAAACTGATCTA